CCCCAAAACCCCAAAACCCCAAAACCCCAAAACCCCAAAGTGAAGGTCTTATTGAAATAATTGTTATATTAATTTTCATAATATTCTCTATTCATTGACTCTAATCTCATAACATTGGTGTTTGTGGCAGTTTTCCTAACATTCTGGGACCTTGTGTAACCTGAAAACCTGACCTTATGAGCGTCAGGGTTGTCAAATGTTTTATATAGACTTGAAGAATGAAGGTTCATGTGAGAAGGCCTCTGTTTCTTATGTATCAGCTGATTCATTAATCCCAATGTCTTCCTTTTCAAACTGATCAGCTCGTTCTTTCTGGTATTCAGCAAAGTCAATCTTTCAGAATCTTTAGAGTTGATTGAGGAGTTTCTTTCAGTGAATGCTTTCTTAGTAGGCTTCAATGCTGATTTCAGCCCATTCGTTTTGACAGTAGAGTTAGTCTTTAGATTAGTCTCATCTGCTAAGGCATCTGTTATCTCAGCGATACGCTCGATGTAAAGGATAGTATTAGCGTTGCCTTCACATGTATCGTAGAGGCAGCAGATGTCTTTTTGGATAAACTTGAGTAAATCACATGCTTTGTCATCAAAAGTTTTGATTGATAAAATATCACTAATTATTTCTCTCAATTTAATGAAATAGTGGGTATCATCTTCCTCCTTGATGTTATCAATAGTGTCCGTTATGGCTTTTCTGAGACCTCTGAGCTCGCTCTGGATATGGGTAATCTTACTCAATTTCTGAGAGTACTTCACAGTAGTACTCACTATGATGATTTAAAAAGATAAACATACCATTTCCACAGCCTTGAGAATGGGAAGCAACCTTATCTTCAGGGATATAAATTCCGCAGTTGATTCATTTAACATCAACTACTTGAGAGCCTCTTTGTAAGGACTTTTCAAGAGATTTTCTAATATTTTAAGCTTGATCTTACTCTCTCCTGGAGATACTCCTGTTCATGGTTGACCTTGAGGTATGAATTGAGTAGTTATGACTAGCTCGACTGCTTGCCTTCATCCAAGAATTATCATGATCCCTACAGATGTTTAACAACCCTTACCTTTTAATAGCTGATGGCCGTGACTCCTCATCTGGTTTTACTTTCTTCCCTGGTGAAGAAACTGAAGGTTAGGAAAGGATTTACTTGGAATATAATTTCGTTCTTGCTGAAGTCTTATTTTCTTCCTATTCCTTGGAGGGACCAAAGCTGGATGAATTTTCTTACCGTTCCCAACGGCTGTCATCCTTTGGGCTAAAAGTAAAATTAATCCTTGTCACAATACTCTTGTTATACATGGAAGAGCCTGACTTTTGCTTATGTGTTCTTCTACCTTGGCCACCATTTTCACTATTCTGCTTCTTTTGAAGAGTGACTTTGAATAGTTTTGCCTTATCTCTCCCTGAAGGATAATTATTTAGAGCTCTTACAGGTCATCTTTTGAGATCTTATCGAGTCAGCTCTAGACCCGTCTGAAGATCCCTTGTCAGTTGTAAGATCTATCTTAACGGATCGTGTATAATGTTTCTCCCATTTGTTTCACTTGGTGCCTACTAAGGTATTGTTCTTGAGCCTGAATTCTTTCTGTATCACTGGGGGTGCCTTCTTACTCTTGAATGACGAGTTTGCTAAGGATTAAAGATGAATTTACTGAGGCAATGTTTTTCATTCTGATCTATAACGTTTTCAACGGAGCTATCTCACATCAAGGAGTCATTATTCTCATGCATAACTACTGGTTCAGAAAGACACTTACTCAGTGATATCTCCGGTGACGACACTACTTCAGAAGCTTTCTCATGCTTAACTTCTTGCCTTGATCCAAAATACGGGTTAATAGTCGTCATGGTCTTTGGATGAAATCCTATATTAGGAGTAGCAATTTCATAATCAGGTTTAAACCCAGGTTGGCACGTTTTGGTGCATGGATTAGAGTCCTTCTGGCACTCAAGCTTAGTTTTCTTATTTATTGCACAAGTCTTATAAGCCTTCTGTATGTTTAATCAGCAATGGATTACCCAACTATCTTCCTTAGGAGCGATCGGGCTTATATTAAAAGACGCTGTTTCATCCTGATCTTGGTAGTTAGGCTCAACTCTGGGCTCTGGGTTTCTAAAGATATATTAGGGCAAATTTTTAGAGCTTAGTTACATTTTAGAGTAATTCTTGAACGCAATGATGCGGTTTTTATCTCCTTTCCTATAATGATATTCCTTATCACTTACTGAGTAAATAATTCATTGCTTCTATCTCTTGCTTTATTTTAAAACGCGACCTAGTGGAACCTTTAGAAGCAATTTTAACACCTTCAAACAAATGTCACAAACTGGTTTGATCGAGTCCAAGCTGGGTGACCGTACTAGTCACAAGTATTTAGCTATTTTAAGCTAGCATTTCGTAATTTTATTATCCTGAGAAGATAACTATTTGAGATAAATGCTGGATACGTTTCTTTCTTGAAGTTCACACTCAGGTTTATAAAGTTGTTAAAGTACATATTACCATATAAATGTTTAAAACTTACCTTTCTCTTGCTTAGGTTCGTTAATGGTCTCTTCAAAGTCCAGGCTTATGTCATTATTAGCAGGGGGTCTGGGCAAGGGCTTCTTGAAATCAAGTCTTGTGGCTATATAAGCAGTATCAGGTACGGTCCTCAATATGACAATGAATACATACTTGGAGAGTTATTGTGTCTCATCCTGTGTCTTCTATCCATTTATGGGATTCAAAATATTATAATCAATGTGAGTCTGAATTCTGGGGTTTTGGGGTTTTGGGGTTTTGGGGTTTTGGGG